AGATCGTCGTCAAACATTTGACAATTGGACGAAAAAACAAGTCATTTCCATATTACATCGGCGTCAGTTTCATACACGATTCACACTCCCATTTGCTTTTGATCGATTGGAACATGTATGCAACGGTTTTGTCGACTTTCATTGCAATTACCGAAAATCTAATGCCATCTTATCACTTCCATCTGTTGTTATGATTAGTCTTGATTCTCACGCCAAGTTCAGCCTTGTTCTATTCACATTCATTCAGCAGATATGTCCTTGTCTACGTCATCTTCAATTTATTTAAAAACTATTGTCATTTCAGTGATGATCTAATTCAAAACACAACTCTGACATTACCAACTGTCAATGAACTTTGTCTTGGAAATGTTGTTTGTTCTATCGATTTTCCTACTCTACGCCGTGTTCTTTGTCTTATTCCTAATCTGAAACATTTGACTGCTAAACGATGTCATATTAATGTCATCGACACTATGAACAACGATACCAGTATGCTCATACACAGCATACGAGTAACAACAGTTAAATGCAGTTCACCATTCGAACACAACTAGGATAGTCTAGCAATTGTTTTTTTTTTCTAAGGTAAACATAATGTATCGAGTAGAAAATTAGTCGCAAAGTGTCTATGTTTAAATCATTGTTTCTTGTAAATGTGTTGAAGAGAATGTTTTGCTAGAAATATCAGACATAGTCCATTTTTCGAAAAGATAACAACACATGGAACATATTTAAAACGTTGAAATCGGTGATTTCTTGATTGATCCAATGGTTTTATGTACAGCAGGCGTTTCATCGTGTATCACGGCATGAATTGAACTGGAAAGTGGTATATTCATATATCATGTTGATCCGATCAACTTCAATGCAGATGCTGCATGTTCAATGATCGATGCTCTTTGTCAGATGGATCCACAAGCAATTCCCAAGCGTATATATCTACTTGGTGGCTATTATAACATTAATTATATGCAACTACGAAATCAAATCGATGTGATGCATGAGAATTCTAAATCGGTTCTGAAAGCGAATGTTACATTACCACCCGACAATTTTGATCACTTTGTCAGTTTAGTCAAATTGAATTTGATTGGTTTTAATACACAACGTAAAACATTCGAAGGTGGAAACAAAGAAGAACAAGATGATGACAATCCTAATGACTAGCACCAGGACATATATATGCGTGCACAACGGCTGATATTGTATCTACTTGATAGATTGCAAGCAATAATTTCTCAGATCGATTCGAAAGCATTTCATGTTCGCGCCCGCCGTACTATGCCACANTTGATTGGTTTTAATACACAACGTAAAACATTCGAAGGTGGAAACAAAGAAGAACAAGATGATGACAATCCTAATGACTTTGTGTTTGATTGTACAGTTGTATACGATCGGTCATCGATCCTACAACACTTGCTGTGTGGCATAGTACGGCGGGCGCGAACATGAAATGCTTTCGAATCGATCTGACAAATTATTGCTTGCAATATTCCAGGTTATTATGGCACGGTCGGTTCCGGCCATTTCCTTGCCGCCGGATTCCTGCCGGAAGTTCAAACGTAGGTTCCAGTCATTTTCCGACCGTTTCCTGCAAACTTTGAGCTGGAAACGGCCAGGAACCTGCCGGAACTTGCTGGAATCGGCGAAAACTGTGCCGGAATCGTGAAGAGCTGTCCCAGAATAGGCTCAGATTTCAACGGATCCAATCGCCGGAATGATCGACCTGGGATATCAAGTAGATACAATATCAGACGTTGTGCACGCATATATATGTCCTGGTGCTAGTCAATCACTTTTCTATGCCGAATTATTTGCTCAAGTTTTACGCAATGTAACAGATCCACGGTGTCTTCATCAATCATTGAATTATCAGATTTTGAAAAAGAAACTCGATAGTTTGTTATCACGCATCGAAGAAAAACATATGGTTCGATGATGAAGATTATTGAAAAGTTCATTTGTGTGATGTTTTATTCTTGACTGACATTTTCGATAGCATCTAAAAGAACGATGCTCCAGTGATTGTCATTTGTAGTACTTAATATATGTGATTCAGAACTTTTCAATAAAACTGACAGTTCGATTAAGATGATCACTCTGAAAATATGTCATCACCATGATGTGAGAATCGAATGTTTCGTTACGCATCTCGATAGAAATCACCGAGGAAAGATAATTACAGTGGTCATGATTCTATTCTCCATTCGGGACGAAACAATTACTGGTTATAGTTTCTCTGTCTTTTGTCGGATTTACTGTGGCAAGTAGTAACCATTGCTATTGCGTCATTCGTTACAGACAGTCTTATGATATAAAAGTAATCGATATAGTGTCGATTGCGTGAAACACACGACAGTGAAAATTCACTTCGTCTCCTCGCCATCGCCCTCAGCTGAAAATTCGTTTCACCAATTCATGTTCACTGATTAGCCACCATAACCAAGTAATCTAATTGGATTGTTCTTTTCTTGAAGTTGGATAGAACAGAAAATTCTTATTACGAAAAGAGAGAAAAGGAGAACATGTGTCAAGATGCTACCTATAATGTGCATATCAAGAGTAGTCGATTTAATAAAAGAGTTATTAAGAATTAAATAGAAAAGTTTCAAAATATTGTG